GTTGTGTGATTATCCCGGCAGGCAGCTTGGACATACAAGAAGTTTTGTGTCAACACAGAAAATATTTCATCACTGGATAGTTTTTTCGTTTATTTAAAGTGTGGTTTATATGTCCGTTGAATGAGCGAATAACGCTTTTCAGAGAAGATTTTTTTTTAGCACAATTCTATCCCAGCGTAGGCTAATGCAGGAAAAAAATATATCCAAATGCTTCACATGAAACTATGGTCCGATCTTTTTCCATCGTGTCGATTTGATTAATATGTGCAGGGAGAGAGAGCAAGAAGACGCTTTGAAAACGGTGGTGAAGCCTTGTTTATACTTTCGCCTGGCTCCAAAGAGAAAGAGTGAGTGCGCGCGCTCAGTTGCGCCCATATGTCATCCCGCAAACACAACAACTGCGCGTCATGTCCATAGCCATCATGCCAGCCAGATTTTGCAGATAAAATGCAATTGTAATAAACATTTTATTTTATTACTATTTTGTAATGAACATTCACGCCAGTGGGGCGGATAGCCTTTTGAGATTTACTCGCCAAACGGAAAGTCTGCCTCTTTAAGAAACTTCTGGTCTGAACGCGCGCTATGATACGCACTTTTTTGCGTATAATACGCACGAACTCCCCACCCCCCTCCCCCCTAAACCTAACCCAGGGTTTTTTAGTGCGTACCATATACACGAAAAAAACACTTTTGGCGTATAAATGCCACGAGAAATGACACTCGTGGTATAGATACGCATCTTCATGAGACTGTGTTGCTCATTCTGTGGGAAGAGGAACTGAGGTGAAGTTGTTTTGTGGCTTTGTCAAAGGTAATACTATTGTTTTTTGTGACTATCCTTGTTCAGTTTAAGTTTTTCATATTGTTTGGGCATGCTTTTATAAGACCGCATATTGGAAGTTAATATAAAAAGTGTATATTGAACAACACATTCGAGTGAACAACACAGACAAAAGTCACGTAACACAGTCTCATAAGTTTAATAATTTGTTTAGTTTTAAGGTGAGGACAAACTTAGTTTACAAGAACAATTGCTAATATTTTTTACATTGAACAAATGTCACTGCACATTTCCATATAGAAACAAACAATCTTTGCCACGTGTCGTGGTGGAAATGAGTAATACTGTGCAACAGCTAAATTGTATAGGCTAAACCGTAATTTTGATGGTCTCCAATTAATTACTATAATGTATGTTAATTATTTTAGTGCTAAATTCATGTACATGAATAGTTACTCAGATAAGTAGCCTAAGATTTTTCATTGTTGAAGTTAAAACGTCTGTGTGCGAAGAGGAGAAAACAGTGATTTTGATACCTATAAGGAGGTTGAAAAGTATAAAAAAATCATAATAGACAGGTAGTAAAAAGTTTTTGAGGTGGTTTTATTGATAGTTTTACAAGGAAAGAGGAATTTGTCCAAAATTATGTTGTTGTTTTTTTAATATGACCAAAGAACATAAATTGCCTTTAGTCTAAGAATTGTTCAATACCTTTATTTGTCCCCTCAGTGGGGCAATTGATTTCACAGCATAGGAGCACAAATTTACAGACATAAGTACACATAGTATAATAAATAAAAAACACATAGTATAATAAAATAACATAACGCACATTCTAATCAATTCCAAGATGTGTAAGCTACCTTACCTTCCTTGCATTTAGAAGAGAGACAGCAGACAGAACAAAGGAGTTTTTAAATCTGGTTGTTTTGACAAATGGGAGTCTGAGCAATGAACCTGATGGTAAAAACTGAAACGGTTGATGTAGGATGAGAACAGTCAGTCAAGATGGAGTTTGCTTTCTTAAACAGTTGTTTTTTGTAAAGATCCATTAAGGTTTCTTGTGGACACCCAATAATTTTACTGCTAATACTACAACCTTGTTCAGTAAGTTCCTCTCCTTTACCCTCAAGGATTGAAACCAACAAACAAAGGAGAACGTAATATTAGACTCAATAAAAGAACGATAAAACAAAGTCATCAAAGTAGAGTCAACCTTGAATTTAGATAATTTTCTAAGACAAAAAAGACGCTGCTGGCTTTTCTTGTAGATTGAGTCTGTATTTTTCTTAAATGGCAATTTATTGTCGAGAAAAGTGCCTAAATATTTATAAGACTGTACCAATTCGACTGTCTGACCATCAATCGCTGTGATGTCAGGGGAAGGCTGAACACGTCTAAAATCAATGCACATGTCCTTTGTCTTTAAAACATTTAATGATAAAAAAGATTCCTGACACCATTTAAAAAAATAATCAATCATTGGACCATGCAAAGTTTCAGTACTATTTAAAAACTATTTATAGTCAATCACCCATAAATGCAATGTAAAATGTGATTTTCTGTAGTTTGTGGTAAGCAAAGCTGAGGAAAGTAAAAATGAATGAATTGAATGAAAAGAAATGATCAAAATATGTTATGACCATTTATTATTCATTACATTAGCCAGCAATACACACAATATGTGTGTGCTGTGTATAATTCTTTTGTGTATATAAATACATATGTATGGATGTATTTATTTAAGAATTATTTGCACGTAAATACTGCATATATTTATATATAAATAACACATTTTGTACCGTTGCTTCTGTCTGAAAAACAATTGAATGATGTTTGAATGAATGAGTGTTTTTGGATGATTCAGTTGAACAAATCATTTAAGTGAATCACTGAAATGACCATGGGCGTAATTTGCGGGGGCGGGGGGGGGGGGGGGGGGTTAGGGGGGTTATGACCCCCTCAAAAATCAGAGCCAGCTAATATAACCCCCCGAATATCATCACATCATTCAGATTAGAATAGATTCCGAATCATTCGGATTCCGAATTAATATTAAATACATTTTGCCAACAAGATAGATAGTATCATATTTTAATGTACCCTCTGCCCACCGCACCGACTTGGTATTACCCAACCCGCTTTCTCTACCAAGTTTTTTTACTATGTTGCGCAGTCGCTGGGATGAATGGTTTGAGGAAATAGCTGATATTGAAATGCAGCCAGACAACGATTTTTTAATTGTTGGTCGGCTCCAAAAAAGGAAAAATCCTGACCAAACGGAGGTACCCCATTGCTAAGTAGCTGTTTCTCAAAGTGCGGCGCGTGGGCGCGGCCCACTGCACTGGCCCACCAATAGAGACGAGTGGGCATGACAAACAGGTTTTGTGCCCATCTTTTTAATTCCTTTATTTATTGACCATACACTCAAAACAAAACAAAGACACATTTAAATGTAAACCTTACTTAACCTTTTCACATGTACCGGTAAGTTTAAAAGTTTTTCAAGGCGACCGTTATTGATCGTAGTATCATTTTATGGTTCCCATGGAGACGCGTCCTTGCTTGTCACACCGCAGCCACAACAGCTGACTGATGATCTGCTTTTATTTATTTTTTTTATTCAGAATTTCACAATTTGCTATATTAGGATCTGATATTCCGATTGTCAAATATGTGCAAGTGGATGTGTTTTGTTGTTAAAACACCTTTGCTGTATATGCGCAACTTATTTTAGGTATCTTATACGTACATTATTAGGAATTTGTCACCTTCAGCTCAATTTGATATTATTAGCCTATTATTATTATGATTTTATTTTTTGTTCTTTTAGCATGGAGTTTGCAAAGTGACAAAATGAATCAAAGCACAACTAACGTTAGTCCACAATTTTCTCAGTTTCTGAATTTTATTAGAGGCTATATAAATGCAAACACAATTTTTCTATCTATTTTTAAATCGTATTTCATGCAAAGTGATAATATAATTGCACTTTCTTTTTTCTCTATTTGAAAGTTTTTAATGCTGTTATTGGATGTTAAGTTTTTACAATGTGATGTTAATAAAATACATTTTAACAGTTAAACTTAAAGCCTAGTTTCTTAACATTTTGTTGGGTTGATTGGGGACAGGTGGGGCTCGGAACCCTTTCCTACCTCAGAAGTGGGGAATAAAACTATCACAATGTATTTCTAATACAGGAACGGCAAATTAGCATGTGATCATTTACAAAAGAAAATTATTCAATAAATTAATACATTAATAAATATGGCGCGAGTTTAACCCCCCCAATGGTAGACCCAAAGTTACGCCCTTGGAAATGACTCACTAATAAAGACAGTCATTTGTTGCCACCTACTGGCGTAATTATATAAACACACACACACACACATTTGTTTTTCATTTAATTAAATTACTCTGGATTTTAAATGTTCTCAAAACCACAACATAAAGACTGTGTTACTGGTGTGCAGGATAGTAAAAACATATCTGATTACATCATTGTTCGGAAGCTTCTGAGAGAAATTCAGTTCATTATTTTGGTGGAAAAGGACTGTGAGAGGCCATCAGTGTTCAGAGGACTATCACTGTGGTAATAGGAAATAGCAATACACTTGCAATGGAACTTTAATGAGAGAATAGAAACAGGTCAGAACAAGAATTCAAGCGTGGGAGACCTCTAGTGACTGTGGTGATCTAGCTTTCTACTTAAGCAACCACCATGATATGCATTATGTGTTTACACAGCACTGCTTTATTGATGCAAAATTATTATTATTTTTTTTTTGCCATATAAAACATTAAAAGATTCTTCTCATAATTTACAATTAGATTAAGATACTCTAATTCTTATTACAGGACTAAATGCTGAAACAAAGTAGAGGACAGAATGTTTATCATACTACCATAACCTCTGATCATTGAACAAGTTTTCTGACTCATGACTCCTTTCCTGACTTTATTTGTAGCATACTTCTATTGACTTTGGCCAGACTTTGCAAATTCATTTTAGGTCAAAGGCCGGACAGAATGTTGTAATTCCAGTGTGAGAGCAAACTACCAAATGCTGTACGTAGTAAAAAATAAAAGCTTAGCTACTATATAATAAAAGACATTTTATGAGATGTCCATGTATGCAGTTGAGCAGTCTTTAAAGAGATCTACCAGTGAATCTTATAATCAGCATTTAAACATGCATTTAGCTGGGACTTTATGCTTTTTTGTCTAAACTGTACCAGTACAACCAGAATATTAGTATGGTGAAGAAGCTAACAGTGAGAAAAACAACATACAAAGCAAACAGAAATCGATCAATGACCTCCCCCAAGTCTATCCAGTCCTTTGAGTTCTGATCACCAGAGAAATGCTTATCAACATGCTGGCGAATGGCGAGTAAATTTTCATGTTGCATCTTTAGTTCCTTCAGTTCTTGCCCATCAAGATTTAATGGTGTTTTAATGCCCTTTTCATGGGATATAGTTTGGTTTCTTTCTTTCTCGGGTGAGCAGGAAATTGTGTAAATGGTGTTTTCTGTTGGCAGAAATAGTTTGATTATTAATGTGATCTATAGATAAGTAAACACAAGATTTATAATTGATATGTTGTAAATAGACATGCTGCATTTTTTTTAAAGCTTATGTCTATAATGTATTTGATATATTCAGTATTTAATTTATTTATTTTCATGTAGATGCACACATTATATACTGCCAGTTGTCCCACCGGTTTAATATTATTTGCTTGTTTTTTTGCAGAAAATGTTTGATTGGTTGTTCAGTCAGTATGAGACTCACTTTGGGGGGCAGAATTCTGGTCAGAGATTTTCTGGCCCAAACAAACCATTCTTGCCAGGTAATGCAGGAACAACACTTTAATCCAGTTTGGTAGAGGAGGATGGTCACTCGAGCCACAAAGAATATTAGTAACGACAATTGTCTCCAATAGACTGGCTACCATCAGTGCTAGACACATGGAGAAAAACACATCTGCAGGGAGAGAGGGAGATAATAACATAAGTTCCCAATCTTCAAATGAAAGTTATTGATGTACATATCAGTGGGTATTAAACTGTAGTACAGAAGGTAAGCAACATGATGCTAGAAATTTACAATATTAAGTCTCATCTTCAGTTTGAAAACCTGAAGACCATTTTAATAGACTGAAAAGCACCAGGTGGATACTTGACTAATCTTATGATACATGATGAGCTTCAGATGACCACCATGAAAATGTTACTTCTATTCGTGGTCTTAGAAAACCCCTGATATAGAAAACATAATAAATAAATACCACAAATTATGATTCACTGTAACTGGTATGTAGACCGAGGCTCACTGAAGCACTGATTTGCTTTATTGTAATTTTCTACGGTATGTTTTAAATAAACTTGTTTAAATAAACTTACTAGAATAAACACATTAAACAGTTTTAATGTTAAATCAGCTAAAGCTTCAATAATATCCACCTTCTAAAACATAAATCACATGTAAATAGGAACATAAGATTTAAATAAGATCTAAAAAATTTAAAAAATCAAATTATTTTTACACATAACCTACATTTTGGTTTCTCATAAAAAGGCAATCTCAACAGAAGGGTTAATAAATACATATTAATAATAATGGACAAGAAAAATGGAACATGGCTGCAGATAGATGTTCTGTTTTAATTAAAGGTGCCTGAATAGTTTGAGAACAACTGATTTATAGTGTATGATGTGCCTTTTTTGCTTTTATATATTTTATGTATTTTTTTTACAAGTGCAGTGGGGTCCAAAAGTCTGAGATTCAAATTTTTATGTAATTAAAGTTTTAAGATGTTGAAAAACTAAATAAAAGAAAAGAACATTATAAAAGAAATAGAATTTGTTATTAGAATTAAATGCAATACAGAAACATTTGACAAGTGGACTCAAGACTTTTGGATCCTACTGTATATGTACAGGCTGATAACAGACTTATTAGAGGGATGGTGTCTCCGGTGACAGGAAGCAGATCGTTCATGAGGAGAAGGAAGACTGTGTAGCCCAGAATAAGAGTCATTTTGAAGGCAGAACGGTCCACACTTTGAGGAGGCAGGAGGAAGCTGAACAGATCCACTGTAACCAGGCAGTAGCTGGGGATCAGAAGGTTCACCACGTATAGAGTTGGTCTGCGCTTTAGGACAATCTAATACGAGACAACCATTAGAACAATAAACAAAACAATATCAAGGGAACAATTCATGTTTCAACTATGAATTTAACATCACTTAATCTTAGTTAATTATTCAGTAATTTTCTTGCTATAACAATATTTATCAACTACAATATTTAGGAATTGATGGTGACACAAACATTGTAAATAAGTTCATCCCAGCCTTCAACCCCTTCCGTGTTATAGTATGAGTTGGCAGATTTTCGTCCGGTCATGTTAACCAGTTGCCACTCCCCTTTAGTCTCCATGTACTGTTGAGATATCTGAAACGTGGCCTCCACTGGTTCTGAAAATACTAATTGAACATCTCTATCTGTAGAGGGAGAGATAAATTAGCTTCAGCCACTGTGGATGTAACATTTTTAAAAATTATTTCTTTTGTGAGCGAGATGCGAAAAGCACTTTTTATAGCGTTTAATATTCTGCTGACTGTCATCCACACAAGTTGCGTATGTGATTTTCTTTCCTTAAATTGAAACTGAATGATTGCTTGTTATTGATCATGATTAAATATTTTAATTTATGGCTTTATAAGTTATTACTTACTTGTGTGTTTGTATGAGCCAAATGTGTAGGTGCAGGTTTGAATATCAAAAGGAAAGGTGTAGATGTTTAAGTTGCAGGAGCTTATCACATGGACTGGCAGCCGATCTTCTGCTTTGCCGTTGTTGTAAAGATAAACATAATAGGTGTCGGGGGCTTGGTTATCACTTGTGCTGTAATTAAAAAGGGCAGCATGACACAGATAGCCACAACAGTTTTATTTATTATTACAGATATTTACAAGATGTTACTAATATAGTTGATTAGTAATATAGTTGACTTGTCATTGTGTTGATTTAAAAAATGTGTTGTTTTGCACATACTAGGGATACTAGGGGCATTTGACGCCAACTTATATTGAAACTGCCAATGTAAGTTGGCGTCAAATGCCATTATGCCAGAATTTTCTCCTTTAGTATGAAGATAATTTAGTATGAAGTCATGGTTTTGGGAACTGCAGTCCGTAATCAAAGCTGCAAAGTCCTTGCTGCACTTCAGCTGGTACCTTGCAAACCTCCTCATACGAGCAGCACGATTACGTGAAAATTTTCGCGCCACTGGCGACACATTTGTTTAACAACAGGCTGTGAGAGGGCTGTGGACCACCGTGGACCAAACAACACAAAATTATCCACAAAGAAAACAGAGTGATGGACTACTTTTAGGAAGATGCACCCGCTCCTCCCGGCCTCCCAGGAACCTCGGAGGAAAAAAAGTCAGGTTCGAGTGACCCCACACAAAAATAAAGATAACCCCACAGATGTGTGCTTCACTCTCCCTGCTACATTTCGATTCACCGGTGCTCTTCTACCGTGAGAATCAGCTCCCCTCATCTGCTGCGAGTGGTTTGGTCTCTATCGGCTAATCAAAAGAGGAAGCTGCCGCTGACTGCAGGATGTAATTCAGAGAGGATCCCAGTTCTCTTCCTCCCAAAGAGTCAGCACAGTGTGTGGACTGTTAGTGTGGACAGAAGGCCATGGAGGATTTTGGCCTGGAATGGTCAACTCCAGAAGAGCCTGTACGCAGCCACTAGGATGGATGGTTCCTGCCAGGTCAGCGTACCTCCCATCAAAGACCGGGACAGTTCTTCCCAGAAGTACAAGATGAGGTCACCAAATTTTGGCTTGCCCCCTTCTCTGCTTGCATTCACTCTTCTGCTTCTGCCACCCTCGCCCCTGTTGACGGCACTGTAAGGAAAGGATATGGCAAGCTATCCTCTCTGGAAGAGATGGTCGCTGCACATATCTGCCCACCATCAGACCTGTGACTGAATTCCAAGAGCCCTGCAGGACGTTCTCGGCATTAGCGGGCAAGACCAACCTCAGTGGCTGGCCAGGCTGGCTCAGCACTCCAGATGATGGCAGTACTGCAAAGTTTTTCAGGCCAACCTCCTCAGTGCAATGGAGGAGTCCTGATGCCTTCAAGGAGTTGTGCACAGCGACCGACCTTGCACTGCGCACTACAAAGGTGACTGTGCAGGTGATTGTCAAGACCATGGCCACGTGTGGTTAAATCTCATGAGATGAAGTCAACCTGCCTTGCTCCCTAGTCTCCCCCACAGGTTTGGTCATTCCTGCCATTGACGGATTCGCAGGGCGCTTCACTGCAGCACAGAAGTAATCACAAGCCTACTTCCTGCCCAAATTCTCTACTGCAGCAGCTTTTTCAAGTTGCCAAAATCCTCCATCACCCCAGCAGTCTGCGAAGCCTGCTCCATCTCCTGCTCAGCCCCCGACAGCGCTTGAGCTGGACAGTGTCCTCAGATGGTAAATTGCTACCCCTTTCCTAAGTGCCAGAGCCCCCGCCCCAGAGTGACATTGGACCTTGCGGCACACAAGCTGTCCTGATATCAAAGAGAGGAAGAGGTGAGGATCAGGTCCCGTCAAGGCCGTACTCGCTCTTAGAAGCTCTATCCATGCTAGGCCCGTCCAACCCACTCCGTACGTGCCCAAGCAAATTACCACTGTGATAGCAGACCCACTAACTAAAAAAAAAAAAACACTTCTCTTCACAACAGTGCAAACAACAGTTCTCTGCCTCCACGCAGTGACCTGCCACTCAAAAAACTCTGACCACCCGCCGCCCGGCACCAGGCTTGGAAAGTCATCCCAGGCATGTCGAGTTGGGTGCACAGTCTGTTAGCAAAAGGCACTCTTGAGACGGTTCCACCAGTGAGCAGCAAGTCAGGCTTTTACAGCCGCTACTTCCTCATTCCCAAGAAAGAAGGTAGGCTCAGGCCCATCCACAATCTCAGAAACCTCAACTAGTGATCGACTGAAAGTGATTTTTTTTTTTATATAACCGATACCAATATCAATTATTTTTATGTGCTCAATAACTGATATGCAGAATTTATATTTATTCACTGTTAAGGTTCTCTGAACCTTTTGCACATTAAAAAATACGACCACACGTTGTGTCAATCAAGTTAACACACTGCCTTCATTCGTATCAGGTTTGATTTTCTGTGTTTTCACATCCGAAGCAAGCATTTTAAGAGGTGTTTTGATAATTCAGAGCCACCGTACAAACAAATAAAATCCAGAATGGGGTCAGAGGGTTGATCCACTTCGTCTCACAGCACAAAGCACTATATGACAAAAAAATTCGGAATACAAAGACTCGTCAAACTGAGCCACTGACATAATGAAGTAAACTTCTTTGATAAGGAGGTGGAGGTGCCTCTCTACACAATCTCAGGATTAGATGGACCCACTATTTCCTCTTTTCTTCTCTTTTTAAGAACAGAGAGGACAACAAAATCATCCTTACTGCTTGAAGACTCTTTTTTGTTTTGTATTTTTTTAGCAATGGATTAATTAATATATTCTGTTTTTTATTAATTCGGTGCTATTATGCGCAGTTGAGTGAACAACACAAGTTTGTGTGTTTGTCGCATAAGGTGGCCTTCTGGTGCTTTGAAATGGACTCTTTTGAGGAGACAGTGGATTTCCAAATTTGTTGCCCTGATTCCACGTGCTATGCGCAAATACACTGCAGACTCACTCTCGCTCGTATCCTAGGTAAATCATCAACACCCTTACATGTGTTTTATTTAACTAAATACATCATAATCAGCTAAAACCCATGCGGAGGATACTTTACTTCCTGAACAAGTGCGCACCCTAGTCTGTGTTGCTTTAAAATTTTCTTTCACCTTGTGCGTTTTGTGTGTTGTCTTTGCTCTAAGCTCTCTGTCTCCTCCTTAAGCCAATCTTTTGCATTTGACAGTGGTGTCTGGTGAAAAGGCATGTGCCTTGTACCTTGAATTTCACCTCTTCCACTTTTGTGAACCATCGGGTTAAAATCTCTACCATCTCCCGTCTCATCGTTTTAATCCCAAGCCCGACCTGTGGAGCCTTCACGTTTGGCCACTCGAGAAGGAGTCTTTACAGCTCTCCGTGAGAGTAACTAACTCTATTTTGGACGCTAGAGCCCCATCTATGAGGTGCCTCTACACCCTGTGCTTTGTCACTTTGCAGACCCTTTTCATGCTCAAACAGCAACATTACATACTAAAGAAAGTTGTGTAATGTAAAAAAAAAACCCATAATAGGCCCTCTTTAATGTTGTAGTTTGGAACTCACACTTCATTGATGACAATATCAGGCCTCCAGAGTTTTTGTCTTGGCAGTGTGATTCTGTCCGTTCCACATTCATCAGGATCCCAGCTCAAACCTTCAATTTTCCAGTCCTTCAAAATACAAATATCTTTATTAATTTTCCATTTATATATAAACCATTTATATATTTATATATTCCATTTAAAATAAACACTTTTACAAAGTATAACGGTATTATATTTAAAATTTTAGGAATGTTTAGCCTGGTTAAAACCAGACCATTCTCAGTTGTAACTGAGATATGGTCGTCACCAGCGGATGTCACGGGTAGACATAAAACCAATCAGAGCGATGAAGGAGATGACGTTTGCAGAGTGGCGGCCAGTGGAGAAACATCTCCGAGTATTGTTCTTTGCTCGGTTTTTAACAAAAAGGAAACATTCTAATCGCTTAAACAGACGCAATAGCTGATTCGAGCGAGTGATGTTCGACGGCGGCGTCCGTCTTTGTAATGTAGGCTACAAAATCTGCTTCAAAATCCCAGTGCTGTCGTCATCGAGTAAAGCCCGCCCCAAAGTTTCTGATTGGTGCCGCGATTTCTGCTGACTGGAAATCGGTTTGAATGAGCTCTTACTTTCAGAGCAAATCTAAATTTGCCAAAAGTTGTCTGGGTTTTCCCAGGCTATAGGAATTTAAGTCCAAGAGTAAAGTGCAAGTTGGCAGCTCAAAATAGATCCTTAGAGCTCTTACAAACCACAGCCAGATAAACGCATCCAAGATTTGAGCTTTTTCATCCTAAAAGGAAAAACGTCCACAATTTATATTTAGGCTATTTGCAGATTATTAATGTAATGTGACTGAATACTGTGATTGGCATAATTGGATATTTACTTACCACATCTAAAATGGCATACAAAATGAAACCCAAACTGATCTTTGTAGGTGTTTTTGGATTAAAAACTGGCCGCATTTGGGTTTTGTTGAAGACGCTCTCTCTGAGTGACTGTAGGAGAGACTCTGCGGTTGGCTGAGAGCAGTTTAAGGTTTCTGCAGATCTCATGAGTGCTGCTGCCCGAAGGATTCGGCCCCAAAGAGAGAAAACATTACCAAGATAAG